TATGCACTGTGAACTTTATAAAGAATAAGCGCACATTGCCTTCTGTATGATAACGTATTCACAGTGTATGTGAAAAAAAATATGTCGATATGTATGCATTATCAACAGAATTGTGTATTGCATATTATCCAATCGCGTATTTAAATACGTTTAAATAACGCATTCTATTTCCCAAGATAGGTTTAATCACCGATAAATAAACTATCTTAACTGTCATTACGTAGTCTAAAAAAATAAGGAGAATACGGTAGATATAGTATCCTCTTTTGCAACTATTGTTTCAGTGAGAGCTAGATCGATCCGGCCGAAGACAAAGCAACGTACAATAATACTGATAATGCCTATAATCTCGACGGATTTCGAAGGACTGTTAAATTAATCCCGATTCATTCAAATGGACAATTTCACCGATCTTCATTCTCTTCCGTTCGAGAACACGCGCGTTGAAATCGCCATTCTCTTTTTGCATTGTCTCACGAATTCCTATCCGTCCAACAAGTGAATTTATATAGAACGCACTCTTCAGACAATAAAGCAGCTAATAAACGAGAGAAGACGAGGAGAAGAATAATAAATAATCCGGTTTTCGATTTCGGAGAATATCAACTCTTGCAAAGTTCGTAAAACAATTTTAATGCCGGTAAGACGTCATCGTTTCGCCGCATCGGGAATTCCGAGATCTTTTAATTTACACTCTCACGCGAAATTTCGCATCAGGATATACTCCGCCGAGCCGAGAGAACTTTCGCGTGGCAGAACGTATCCCCGCGAATGCGAATTCACGTGGCTGATGCTCTCGCGGATTCAGTGAAAGCACAATTCTTTCTCAACAGTTCGCGGCGATAGTCGAGGCGTCGCGTCGCCGATGAGCGGAATAGAATTCGGTCGCCGCGCCGCGCGCCACGTCGAGAGGTACGTTCAGCCGCGCGATTACGCGTTAACATATACGTTTTCGGTATACTCGAATCGCATCCGTTTTGCGATTTCGGAGAAGAACAGCACAAGAAAAGGCAAGCGAAGAGACCAAACTCACGAAGTCTCTCTTGTTGACGAAACTCACGAAACGTCAAGATCGCCGTGCGATTCTATACAGTCTTCGCGCGCACATCACGTATACAAATTAGATTGCTTTAAAGATATCTTCTTATACGCGAGCGACTTTCTCAAGTAGCTAAAATTTTTCCGAAGGAAATAATATATTTTTGCACGAACATCGCTAGTATAACACTGCAACGTATGTCGACACGCCGCTAACTCGGCTCTATTGTCCGCTTGTACAAGCGTTTCTGCAAGATAACGTGATGGCTGTCGCGGTAATTATACTAATTACGATAGTATGGTTTCGTAACACGTTCATGATCGATTCGCGAAATTATAGCGAACGCACAAGATGCGCCTTTCCGACCTTAATTCCGACAATAGAATTTTTGACGAGTCCCCTCAGGTCGATTTTTATCAGGAGAGCACATCGAGAGAGAAAGAAAAGTGTAAAATTATAAATGAATATTTGGCGGTCACGGGCTGCGTCAAACAATTATTTGTTAATTCACAAAAATATGTTAATATTATATATTGATGTATGTTTAATTCAAAAACGTATAAGTATTTAATTGGACTAAAGAAAAACCGTCAACAAATCAACAAAACGCATTCAGTTATTTTTAACAACTTCTTTTCTTGACAGTGCAATATAACGTCGTGGATCTTACGGTTTTCTCCGCTCTTCCGTTTATGCATTTTTTTCGCTGTCATTGTTTTTTTGATGATTCGGCGAACGGGATGTTATATACGTTATCTCCACTGCCGGCATTTGCGACACGGCGATACGAAAATCGCATCGATTTTTCGAAACTTAACGAAGTTAAGCCGTGGGTTTTCCCGCGTGTGTTGCGCGTATTCTAGGAACCGGTATATCCGCGAAGCCTTTATAGAGCGGCGCGCGGCACCGCCGTTTTCCGACTGACAGACGAAGGAGAAAGGATCCGCGCTGAAACGGTACGCCTGGTGCACGCGACCATGACACGCTGTTTGACATCGGCTTATCGGCATTATTGCCGCTCAGCTGAGGCCCGGCGAGCGTATATAACATAATTTATGTAAAATATTTGCGACGAATTTTAATAGAGAGAAAACTGGAATGTACGTTACGAATGAATTCAGCACTGTCACTTCGTAACACTTATATTATCACATTCAAAAGAGATACAATTATCTAGCATAGAGTCCTACAAATACGTAATATAACATTATATCATTGTCCTAAAGCAAAAAAAATCTATTTTAATTCTATTCAAATTTTTATATCACTAAACGATTAAACTTTTGTTATAATTAATTAATATAAAAGTTTATTATTTATTATTTAAGATTTTATTACTTATTCTCGTCTTTCTGCAAAGAATTAGGCATTACAGTTTTATTTACATCAATTTAAAAAACAATACCGTATATAATACATATATTATTCTTCATATAGAATTAAATAAGTTTTATTTTGTTCTTTTATTTTTCTCGATAAATAGTAGCGCTGTATAATCCTAAATGATCAAAGAATTCTTTGAATCTAATTCTATATGAAGAATTAATATGTAAGATTTTATTACTTATTCTCGTCTTTCTGCAAAGAATTATCAGTTTTATTTACATCAATTTAAAAAACAATACCGTATATAATACATATTATTCTTTATATAGAATTAAATAAGTTTTATTTTGTTCTTTTATTTTTCTCGATAAATAGTGCTGTATAATCCTAAATTAATGATCAAAGAATTCTTTGAATCTAATTCTATATGAAGAATAATATGTATTGTAATTGTTTTTTAAATCGATGTAAATAAAACTTTAATTCTTTGCAGAAAGACGACAATAAATAATAAAATCTTAAATAATAAATAATAATCTCTTATAATTACACGGTTTTTTTTCAGAATGAATACATATATATGTTTTACAAAGTACTATATTAAATACTATATTGTACTTGATTTTTTACAATTTTGTCTTAAATTATTTTAATTTCTAATTACTATTTTTATAATGCATTGTTACGCAATTATATTCCGTTATTATAACATGGAAATATAATTAAACAATATTATATGTATACATGCCATACGTAATACGAAACAAAGTCGAAAACCATGTAGGTGTATAAGGTATATTATCCGCCGGAAATATCCGTAGCTACGTAGTTATACTTTGCACGCATAGAGGCGCTGGTAGACGAGTTCCAAATATAACCTCTTTGGTTCCAACGAGGTTTCCAGTGCGCTACATAACCTTGCAAGAAGGTTGAAGGGTGCTATAATCCACCAGCCAGTGGAGTAAAAACCAACAAAAAAAACGGAGTTTCCAATACGGCCAATAGAGTACCAATACAAGCACTCGGGACCCGGGAATCGCCAGTCGGGTCAGTATATAACCTCTCTGGTCAACCGTCAAGGCCCAAGGAAGAATGAGAAACAACAGCTGATGGTTGCATACGATGGCTAAATTATAAATTATGTATTAATCCGTAACTGCCTAAGTTCACTGACGGATATACACCTGCCACGCGGAATGCGCTGCAGCATGTGTAAAAAGCTCGAGATTCTCCGTGCCTTCGATGTGCACAGGTTATGGGGGTACTGATTCCCATACGAGAAATGCAAAGGTAAACGTCTCCTGCGGAACGTACACATTCGACGAAAGTGGTGCGTCTTATGGTGGAAGTGGAGCGGTGCTTCACGACGGGACACCATGGCCAGGCAACTGACGCGACGGTTGAGCTGCGTCGCGAGTCTTCTGCTGAGAGGCCTCGAGCCGCTGTACGCCGCAAGCTCGTCCTCCCCTCCGCACAGCAGAATGCTGTGCAAGCGCGTGGACATAATGGACCACACCTGCAAGGTGTCGAATTACGACGACTACCTCGTGAACTACAACCCCGTTCAGCGGATCCTGAGGGACACCCTTCGCGAGCTGCTGGGCATAACGAAAACCAAAGCGAGAAAAATTGTGGATGATTACCCGCAGCTGAAGAAGAGATCCAGAGCGAATGTGCTGAACAATTATTACAATCTGATGGAGGCCGGCATGCACAAGGGCACCGTCAGGGACAACGTCTGGTTGCTGGCGTACGAGAACAACAAGCTGACGGACAAGCTTAACTGCATCAAGGCTCTAAATATGGACAACAATCAGCTGATACCGTGGCTACACCTCACCCAAAAGGAATTGGCCAATTATGTACTGTACGTTCAGCAAGACATGGATTCTTATACGTTTAACAGAATGGAATACCTGTCTTATAAATTAGAGGTACAAGTACAGCTAATATCGAGTTATTGAATATAGTTACGTGTGAAGCGTATAATATTCTTAGTAATAAAGTTAAATAATTTGAGACAAAATTGTAAAAAAATCAAGTATAATGTATTATACTTGTTATAATATATAACATATTTTAATAGTACTTTGCAAAACGTATTCATTCTTTAAAAAAAATTGTGTAAAATAACTAAGAGATTATTATTTATTATAAGCTAGTAAACTGTTTCTAAGACGTTCTATTTAAGGTAATATTTCTGTTTGTAAGAAAATTCATACTTTTCAAAAATGCAGAAGTTATAAATTTGGCTGTCTGTTGAAGAGAACTTGAGTAGAATTGAAATAAAAATTATAGGATATATATTATGTGTTGTAGCATATTCTATAAAGTAGTCTTTTTTTCTAGTGCAGCATACAACAATTATGTGAAGTGACAGTGTTGAATTCATTCCTAATGAAAGTTCCAGTTTCCTCTATAGACAAAAAATTGAACATACTGTATGGTAAGTTAATAATAATAGCAGAGTTAAATAATAATTTATTATTAATACGTGTATATTCGTGATAATAGTAAAGTATAAAACACATCTCTAAAAAGATTAACTTCAATTAATCTCTGCTTTTGTAGAATATAATGTAAGTAACAAGGATATACTGAAAGACGTATGGGTACTTCGATATAGTGAAAATCATATACGTAACAGATGTGAATTGTACAAAGAGACAGGAAAGTTAAAGATAAAAACATGGGCCATACGATGTCCGCTTAGAGTTATATCAAGGTAATAAAATAGAATATAGAAAATATCTTATTCCTAATTTTCCATTGTATTTTTTGAAAAATTTTATATAATTACATCAAGTAATTGCTTTTACTTTATTAAAAATACACTTAAAATATTTTTATCATTCTTATTAACTTTTAGAAATTGCAATTTCTATTAATTTTTATTCTTTTCGTATTTTTCCTTTAACACATACAAAATAAAAAAGATTTGAATAAATTTGTATTACATATAAAATAATCAGAATATTTAGAAATAGAAAGTATGAAATATCGTTTGTTCGCAAATATATACAGGGCCATTCAAAGGAATAAGGTGGAAAGTAGCTTGATGCAAAATTATGGAAATATTAACGACTATTTGCAAGATAAATTGAAAGTCAATGAAGAACAGCTCAATTTAGCGATCAAGAAAGTGCCAGGTGTTTTACGGGTGAATGTAGCGAAATTGGATCGATTAATCGATATACTACATCAGAATGGCATTACTAGCGACGAAATGTTACGATATGCCCGAATCTTTTTTTTCAACGTAGAAACTATACAGTATCGAATTGAGGCTTTAAAGACGAATCGTCTTATTCCAACTGTTATTGTGCTAATAAAGGATGAACAAACCTTTGAACAGTATGTAAAAGTTATAAAAGTAATAAATACATAGCTAAATATAGATCTTAATATAGCATAATGTAGAAACTAATCAAATTATAGACTTTTTAATTTTTCACTTTTCACATAGGTATATAGATACGAATGTTGAACGGCGGAAATTTTTGGAAGAATATGGAAGCGTTAAGAATTATTTAATCAACAAACTGGATGTGGACGAAAAGCTTTGCGACAGAGTAACTGCGAAATATCCGTCTATCTTACGGATAAAAGTAAAAAAGTTACTTGAATTGACCGATATGCTGCGACACTATGATATAGCGGGTGAAGACATAATGAGTCATCCAAAAATTTTTCACTTCAATATTGAAACGTTGCGTAAGCGAATTGAATTATTGAAAGCGAACGGTATGCCATTGAGAATCCCTTTAATAATATCGAACAATGTATCAAGGAAAGTTAGATCGATTGAGGACATTCAGATCATATAATTAAATTACTGTAATATGTAAAGAGATTAATGTTCATTAAATTTATTTCTGTAATGTAAATTATTTTTATAACGCGCCAACGTGCTGGAAAACAAAAACGTGTGTATGTGTGTACATAAAAACAAATTTCAAATGCACGGCAAATATGATATGAGAAGAATGTGTGAGCAAACGAATTTGAACTATATTATTAATACAAATGTGAAATATATCGAATAAAGTACATTGGTCATCGTTTATATTAATAATGTAGCATTTTTATGTGATTTTGATACACTCGTAAGACAGTATCGGGTTCATTTATTTCTTATCTTTCGTGATCTGTGATTAAATTTAATGATTAAAACAAGTAGTTTTGCTAAGTGATGCTTTATTCAATTTCCATCTCTTTGGCTACATACTTTATTTTTATTATTCCATTCATCAATACACATACAATGGTCTCAAAAAATTTACCCTCAACTAACTGTGGATGTCAAGTTTTCGGGGCTTTTCCTATTTATTTTATTTCTTTATTCTAGAAAAATAAAAATTTGATTTGTACAATTAATACTGATTAAATACAGAATTGAGCAATTATTTATTTTCCTTCACTTTTAATAAATAGGAATTCTTAAAACTTTGTATCCACTAATCCATTATAGAGGTATGCGAATCAAGCATTTGCATGGTCGAATCGAATCGAATTTTTATAACATGTTCGAAATCGAATTGAATCGAATCTGAAATTTTCACTTTGAATCGAATCTTTTTAATTCGAATACGAATCGAATCTGAATCAAATTTACCCAGATTAACATTACATTAGGCGATTCGAAATCGAACCATTGTTGATTCGAAATTCTCGAACTATTCGATTTCGAATCTTGCAGATTCGAAAACGAATCGAATTCGAACTATTCGCACACCTCTAATCTAAGGCACTATAAGATGTAGGTATTCCTATCCGCCATCTTGGTTCCAATTGGTTTAATAGTTACTTTCCATTTTCACATAAATAATACTGAATCTAAAGTTATGTGAGTATTTTTATACTCAGATAATAATGTTATTACTTGTTTACTTTGGTAGAAAGTTATCGAGCGTAAAAGTATAGGTTTTACTTCACTTTTAATATGAATTAATAGACTCAGTAAAGAATACGATTTCGAGCTTTATGCAGATTATAATTAAAAA